ACATGGGAGTTCATGGAGTACCTGGGTTAAACTAAGATAGATGTGGAATACCCATGGTGAATCCCTAGGAACTAGATGTGGATACCCATGGTGAATCCCTAGGAACATGATCTAAACATGGTTTACCCAAAAAAAAACCTGGTTCGCCCACACGAAAAAACAACACATCCAAACAATACGATATACTTATCACCAGAGGATGAATGAAAACACTGGCTATACGCAGTGATTGTGACTTTAAGTTTTCAGGATTTGGGGTTTTAATTTAGGGTTTTGGGTTTTAGGGTTTTAGGGTTTTAGTGTTTGTTGTTTTGGAAAGAAAAAAAACTTGACCCTGCGCAGGGATTTGAGCATGTCAACGGATATACGGGATTGGCCGCGGGCAAACCTAGGGGTTGCAGCGAACGTTTACAGGAGGGTACTGTAATAGATATATAACATCAAATAACTATCAACAAGAGGGACTTACATGACTTAACTATATATAACAATTATCATGGGATATTCAACTGATGATCATAGACAGTTGGTGTATATGTAATGGTGTATACTGCATGTGGTTATTTAAGGGGATATCTATAATGGAATTCACCATGAAATACCATACATCCATCAACAATAGGGACTCAAATGGCTTAATTGGTATTAACCATTATATAACGATGATTACATTGATAAGTAATACACCAAATCAGCAATAACACAAACAAGTAACTAAGTATTAAAAATATGATATCAAATGATACTAAATATACGTAAATTTAGGTTGAACTAAAATATAACTGGTGTAGTAACATATATATATATGCATATATACAAACCATTGATGTTTATTATTTATATTTATATATTTCTCAATCAATTGATGTATTCACATATCTTGGGGGATATAATGGTGTATATTGCATTTAGCACAAACTTATGGGATATGTTGGTATAACATCACTTTTAATATATAATGCATTTGGGTATTAACATTTATTAACGGGAATATTTAGCATGGAATATAACAACATATGACATCATATAATAACAATCAACAATAGGGACTTAAGTGACTTGAGAATCAATGGTCGTGAATGGATGGGTGTATAGCGCAACCGCCAACAAAGATACAACAAAATGATGGCATAAGGATATATAGTTTGCATTCATGGGAATCAAAACTACAATCTGGTGGTATACTGTAAATGAGTAGTTAAGTTGCTGGAAAGCAAATGAATTTGTTTTTTGGTCATTGCAACTATGGCCAGATGGGGTTCACGAACATAGAATAACACCACCTGGTGCGCTGAACACCATCCCCCCAACCAATCGACACTGCCATCGTTGGGGGTTGGAATTCTCCAGGTCTACCTTCGTTGGGGGATGGAAACCCAGAAATCCGGAAAGCCATGGAGGAGCACATAGGAAAGCATGGTGTCTGCCCGAAAAATAAGTAGAGGCTTCCTCTAGATTTCAAACCTGGTCGAACTGACTTCCTGTTCAATCACTGCCTCCGTCAAATGCCGCAGAGACTTATCCAAGGAAAATGTTGCCCCACAGGCCTTTGCCACAATTTAGACCATCATCAGTGGGGACTCTGGAATTCAAACGACTAGCAGAACGTGTGTGCATATATATATATATATATACTGCAACCAATGGGTGTAGATTGTGCAGATATAAAGTACTCACATATTTTGCATGTATGCATAGATATGCATAGTCAACAATGGGGAAATTTCAACTCACAGTAAAAGGCGTGTTGCTAGGTTCTACTATAAAATGTGGGCCAACAAATACTAGAACTGAACTGAACTCTGATGATACCCCAAAGATATCCAAAGATCACCAAAACGACCATGGCTGCTTCAGTGAGTCAATGGGTTTATTTTTAGCTATATATAGAGCTTTTGTGCAACTGTTCTATTCTTCCTGTTTTCTATCCCCTGCTGCCGAGTTTAATGAAACGACTGCAGGTACAACTTTTTGACCATCAAGCTTTGGGCTATCTTGTGCGTTTTCAAATTGATTTTCTGCAACTTAGAGCCATACTTGGACTGCTAGAGCTGAGGAAAAATCTGGCCGACTGGAGTGGACCACATAATCATAATTCAGAGCTCGGATCCATGACGTTTCTTTTTATCTAATCAAACAGTTGTTTCTTTTGGACCTATCAATCACAGCTTGGTGATCAGAACCCTTTAAGCGCTGCGCCACAACGATCTACCCCTGCAAGTTCATCCAATTGTTTGAAACCTGCTCTTGATTCATCCTCAAAAATCGTATTGGCTTGATGTCCTTTGCTGGGATAATTATATTAAACAAAAACATAAATTTAACATATTGTACATATTCAGGAGATTTCAGGAGCATGGCCTCCCAGCCACGTCACCTTACAGAGCTGTTCGGCGCCATGGCCGCCGCTGTTGCCGGTCGTAAAATGTCCCTTGCCGCACTCACAGGGCACCGCGAGTTGTGGATCAAAGGTCCTCTCGGCGTCTATCAGGTGCCATACCCCCAACATATGGAACTAATAAGAACTAAATGCATCTAAATGCAACTAATCAACCCTGCCAAATAGAGGCCCAAATAGAGGCTTGGAAGATCTTGGAAGACTCTCCTTGAACCATGGGCAGTGTCCTCACGTGATGGGATTCCGATCATGATCCTCTGAAATTCCCCGTGCTACAATCCCTATAACCATCAGCAAACACAACGAAGAAATCACAGTGTTGTATATACATACACATACGTACACGAACATACATGGCAAATGCCTTAAGTTTTGCCCGTGGTCTCAACAACTATGACATCGTCGTTTCTTCCCGTTGCTCAGATTCCTGCGTGAACTGCTGTTTTTGAGCTTCCGAAACAATAGACCCTGAAACCCCAAACCCTTAAACCCTTAAGCCTCTATCACTTCACATACAGCCAGTCTCTTTGCAATTTCTCTGAACCATGTTTACCCTGCCCAAGATCCTTAAGTACTTAAGTACATTATCTATAGAGCTTGCTGTACAGTCATGCCCCATTTACATCCTCTTAAAATGGTAAAAATCATCAACCAACAAGGATATTTTGGATGAGTTCGGTTACAACGTTTAAATTTAAATACTCATTTTGAACAACTCATCTACCAGTCATTGAAAGTGCTCAAATGAGCCATGAGAAATACATCCATGCCATCACATTATGCTTGTTGTTACTATAATGAGTGTGTGTGTGTGTGTCATTACACTTAACCAGGTAGCTTAATAACATTTGATAACTCATGATAACTCCACTTCAGAACCAACCAAAGATGTATTAAGTCAAACACCCTAATGTTTAAAAATCTGTCAACTTCCCAATCATCAATCATCATTAATCGTTAACCAGGTCTTTCATCATCATGGTTTCTTCATAAGGATCACCCCCAAGCCGCGGATGATCCACCGTCCTTTCGTCCTTGCAGCGCTGGCAGGGGCACTGGAAACCCTGCCCCAGCTGGCCTTGCCTTGCGCTTTGGAAGAGGCTCACGGGCACGTAGGACACCGTTACCTAGGAGAGAGCAGGTCTAAACCCAGGGAACTGTATTATATATATAATATTATATATATATATATTATATTATATATATATTATATTATATATATATTATATATTATATTATATATATATTATATATTATATATTATATATATATGATCCATATGATATACAATGGGCATCAATGGGGACATATCACCAATACGATGAAGTTTGACAGTTTGACATTAAAAATGATGTTTTGAGCATGGATTTCACCAGAGATAGATGATTTCACCATCAGCCTAGCATTCAACCAACGGTTTATTCACCATCTAGTATTGGGGGGATCACCGGTTGGCTGAATGCCCAAGAACACAACTGAAGCATCAGCATTGCTGTAAAATTGTCAGAAATCAAGTGACTCATCTCTGATGTTGTCTTTTTTTATCTCTTTTTGATAGCTGCCTTGAATTGTCTTGAAATACACTCTTCGGGCCACTTGCGAATGAAATGCTGGCCAATGCTGGCACCGCTGTCCAGACCCCACTTCACCGGGCCACCAGGCCCCTCCCAGCCCCACGAAAAGACAAGCAGCCTTGGTTCCTTTTGGAAGATCGTCTTAGTCGCAGAATTTCACGATCGACAGAAACAACACACACGAATAACCAACGATATACCCATGAATGGGATCCATTCATGGCGCACAGCAAAACCATCTCTGTGGTGACAATTGGGGTCCAGGGATATTTTCCTGACATGAAGACTCCTCCGCACCTTGAGGAAAGAATTTTTCAGAAGCCTCAAATACCCTGGGACCCTCCATTTACACCCACAGTACTCATGATCTTATTCATGGTTATAATCTGTTCCATTCTGTTCCCATATTCTTGGCTACTTTGCGGGATCTAGATGGAAATGAAGCCAAGCTTCCACTGGTCCAGAGTCCCCAGCCCCAGGGCCCCAAGCCATCCATTTTTTGTTTCGCCAGGTAGCGAGTTGCGAGTCCAAGAGTATACAAGGCCGTGGTCAAAAAATTAGGGGCCATGCAGGTCGCACTAGAGTGCGCAGGCGCCGCTAAACCACGATCTGATGTTGGGTGGTTGGGAAACGCCAATTCATTCTTGACTTGACGTGTTGTACGTGTTGTGCTTGGACATGACATATATTCAGCTAAGACCTCAGACCGGGGAATCACCGGGAATCCATCCCCAGAAGCGGCCACGCCCCAAGTAAGAGGCAAGGATGGAGTCCCAGGATTTCTGTATTCCCAACCACACCAAAAAACCGGATTATGAGCAGTGCCCAGAACCTTCTGCAGTCCAGTTCTTTTTTCTATTTTCATATGTTGTCTTTCAGGGACTTCTTCGGTGGAATATTTACATAATGAATCATAATGACTCATCAACCTACGTCATCCCATCCCAATGGAAATCATTCTAACATTCGACAAATTGGCGTATTCCAAGCCTATTTTCAACTCGAAACTAGGTCTATTGAATTCACCAGTTCGATGTTCCCGCTTTGATCTGACAGGTTTTAGGCACTTCCCAGTCAGCTTCCACATCGCGCCGAAGTCTTCGAGCGGATTTCCCCGCGAGGTCTCGTCGCAGACATGGTGACAGTATTTAATGTTACTGTATTTATAGCTTAGCCACGATCGGCCCGGGCTTTGCGGCCTTCGGCCTTTGCCCCATCTCCCTTATTCACCATAGTGTCAAGGGATGCCTCGACACGTTGCAGATTCTGATTCACCTGCTCGGAAAACTCTTTAACCTTCTCAGCCACGGACTGAGAAATTTCAGTTTGCAGTGCACCGTGAGCATCCTTAAAATTGGACAGCTCACCGCGCAGAACCTCACTCACTTGGGCCAAGTTCTGTTCCCCCGCCTCGGGTTGACACTGGCCAAGGGATGTGAAGGGCCGGGTTAAGTCCCTGAAAAAATAGATGGTTTGAAAATCACCCGTAAATATCACAATACCTGGATACATCATGATATATCTTACATAGCTCGGAACATAGGCCCGTAGGCCCAGCTTTAATGGTTTAAAACGGGTTGTGGACGTGGGATGTTTTGCTCAGCTCTGCCTGGGGAACTTAAGAGGGGGGACACAATCGGGAGGTAACCACTCTAATTAATCACCAACAAGACCTTAAGAGAAGGCCGTGTTTCCCTAATGATTCTGTAGAGGGTTGGTCATGAGGAAATATTTGTCTACACATGGATGGGGAAACCTGTCGCTACATTATAGGCTCAGGGCACATAGGGGGAGGGTATGGGGAAAGCATACCTTCCGGTTCCAACTTTGAGATGGGTACGAAACCGGCAAGGCCCAAAGCCACTACAGAATCAAAGCCCGTGCCTCAGAGATTTTTGCCCCTACAAAATCCCCAGCCCACACCCCTTTAGCCCATTTTGGCTCTACAAAATCAGAACCCTGGGGCCCTTAGCCACTTTGTTTAAAAGAAAAGTAGTCTCTACAAAATCCATGTCGCACCCCCTATTATTCTGCATTTTCTCTCTCTCTATATTTATGTAATATAGGCACATATTACATATATATATACACACATATTATTACATAGAAAGCGTTCTTTAGAATACACCCACACCCAACCCTGCACATGCCCACTTCGAGTCATCTATAAAATCAGGATTGCTCCAGGTCAAAAACTGACAATTGTCAATGTCCACAAAAAAAGAAGAACTCATCTCTACAGAATATTAATGATACTTGATTCATACAACCCACGTACCCGTCGGATCTTATACAGAACATATTTAGGGGAATGTTTAAAGATTCAAACCTTGCTTTCTCCATTCATAACATACATATATATATACATACATACATATGACAATGTATGACAAAATTTTGACCCTACGCATATACAACATTATACAACATTTGCTCGGCGTAAATTCACCAAGCAGCTTCTTGCTGTTTCTCCGCCATCATCTGCGCCATTTGGGTCAACTCCTGGTGTGGGTAAATCTGTCCATATTCTCTAATCTAATCCAACCACATACTATGTATAGAGTGTTGTAGAGTATATTATTAATAAATATATATATATATTATCTGTCCATATTATTCATATGTGCATACTACACATCCAAATTACATAATTATACGTATATATATAATATATATATATATATAATTATATAAATATTATTATAAATACATATGCATATATGGGGCACCCCTAGGACACCCTTTCTTGTCCAGATCCACAAAAACTGTCTTTTCAGAGATTTTGATGGTTTTCACGTCCAAGATTGAGAGTCCACGTCCTTTCCGATAGCAGAATGGTTTTTCACGTCCTTGTGGCTAGATTGCGTTCAAATTACGTTCACATTGCGCTCATGCTGCGCAAGAATTGCGTACAAAGTCATCCTTTCAAGTCGCTGAAAAGTCGTCCGGGACAACAATTCCTGTTCAACCTTCCAATAGCTTACTTTTTCTGATCTGGATAGGACAGGGGGGGTGCCCTAAGTATACATATCCTACACACCCCACCACTTCTGGCTGCTTTTTGGCATTTGGAGTTTTCCATAAATGGGGATATCCCAAATGGATGGTTTATTTTCCTGCAAATCCTAATAAAATGGATTATTAAGGGGTACCCACATTGCAGGAACCCCTCATTTGGCTGTATGTCAAAGCCCGGTACTGGCCCATTGTGTTCGATCATGTTCGATGATGTACCGTTCCTAAACTGACGAAGAATTATGTTCCATAGTTCCATAGCCTTAGAGTTTTCCATGACATCATGTTGAAATATATGTTCATACAATTTCTGGATGTTCATTTATTATTATTTATTTATTGCCACTTTTTGCGGCGGTGGCATGGGTCATTAAATGTCCCCATTGAACATCACCCAACCATTAGGTACATGGTCTATAATGGCTACTATAAGGTGATGTCCAATATTCCCAAAATGGGACAGTTACCAACCCCTGGATGGATCCATGATATTCCATGATCCCGTGTCGCGCCTGACGCACCAATTCCAACTCACTGCTGCCGTCAGCGCTCTGTTCGGAGGCCTTTTCCAAACGCCGCACGCCGTCGTCCAAGCGCTCCACCATGGCACAGACGGCACTCTTCAGGTTCGTGTCCTTCAGGGATTCGCCACGGGTCATTAATAGATGAGCTAGTAGATGTCAATGCTAATAGACAGGATGAGATGGGATGAGATGGAATACTTTTTCTGGGTTTTCATAGATGTTTCTAGTGATTTTTTCTGAAAAATGTGTTACAATCATATGTTTATTAATGATGGCGGCGAATAACCAATAATGGCTAATGCTTACCCGCAACGGTGTCATCAGCTACATGGCTGGGAAATCCCGAAAATAAATGGCATAAAAATTGGAAACATAAACATATGTAAGTAAATGAAGGAGTCTATTGCAATGTGAAATTAGGCCATGTTGCGATGATCAAACGGAAGTGATGATGAATGCTAGATGATGGGGGCCCAGAAGATTCCATGACCCAAGTGATAAGCACCAGTTAGTGCTGCACCAGGACTCATCCTAGGCTTGAACAGATCCTTGGAGGATCAGTGGATAAGACAACCTATCTGGGTCAAGACCCCTCTCTTAGAATCCTTGACTCCTTGACGCCACTTGGAAGATCCTTTTGGGATGGTGAAAACAAACCAAACAAACTTGTGGCTTCACTGGTGCATTTTCATTGGTTCACCATGTTCATTTGTTGAAATTCCAAACGCTTGTGGGTTAAATGAACCCACAAAAAAAACCATCTGGTGATCTCTGAAAATTAGAGTAGAAGCCCTAAAGCTGCTGGTGAATCCATCATGTTCATTCATTCCAAATACCCTCTGGTAAACATACAAAAAGCTATTGAAAATGGCCATTTATAGTGAGTTTTCCCATTAAAAATGGTGACTTTCCATAGTTATGTAAACGTTTACCAGAGGGTAAATGGCCATAACTTGCCGGGTAAATCCCCAAATTTCAGGTCATCCAAAACTGAACATATCCCCACTGCAAGTTGGTACATTAATACCCCAGTTCGTCGGGTTTTTGTCACTTATGATCTACCATGATATACCTACACCTCACAGGTTAGATAAAGCTATAGCAATGATATCCGATATCCCTATACTATACTTCATGGGCCTTATAAACCAACAAATATCACTGGAACCACCACAGTCCTGGTCACCCTCCACACCCAGCAAGTTGTTCTTCATCTCGGCCAGCTGGCGCACCACCACCTCAAGCCGGAAGCCGGCTGGTTCAAAGCCATCTGGCTACATTTCTGAGTGTTGTGTATATATACATATATATATATACATACTGTGTATATATATATATACACTGTATATGGGTTATAGTTATATAGTTATATACATAATATCATAATTACAGATATTTTTAGAAACCATCTACTAATGTTCGATCGATTGGTTGCGAAATCGTAACAAGAAACCCACAAGTTGTTCTCAGTACACCGGTAAACTGTAAACTGTTCATGAGTGAAGCCGATGGAACAGGGGCCTTTCTGGGGGGAATGGATCTCATGAAGCAATGTTTTGGGAACTTGACAACTTGAGGGAATGTCATGGAATTGATGTAGTGGATTTGATACTGAATGTTACTTTAATACCGAACTGAATCACTTTCAGTTTCATTAACTTCAATGAATGGTAGAAGGTATTAATGTAATGTAGTGAAATTGTCTATCATGCAATGAAAAACAATTCAGCGTAGATCAATGGAGGTATATAGGTATGTATATAGCTGTGGGTGATTTTGTATATGTTTGTTTATGCATACTTGAAAGGATTGATTCCTCCCCACCTCACGCAAATTCATCTCCATGTTGGCTGCTGAGTTTTGCCTTGGTATAGCACCAGCCCGAGTATCTGTGGTGAACATTTGTGAACTGAAGTGGAGTGGAAGACCATAACAACATGGGGACAAATGCTGTGAAGGTATGTAGTATGTAACGGTTAAAAATTGGGATCTAACAAGAAAGTTCATGGCCAACATTTCAGTGGAGTTTTACTCGCTACAACCAGGGACACTGGGGACTGGAGCCACAAACAACTTCTATAATGGATGGCCTTCACGTCTTTGAAAATTTTGAAACCCATCCACAGCAACACATTTTTCTACAACAATTAAAGCCATGCAGCAATCCGGTCGTGAAGTGGTACCCTCTGGTAATTTAACATAGCTATTGAAAATGACCATTTATAGTGGATTTTCCCATAAACAATGGTGATTTTCCATAGCTATGTTAATTTACCAGAGGGTAGATAGATCTAATCCACTGAGAGTTTGTTTCAGTCCTGCTGAATGTCACTGATAGAGATATCATGCACGGATAGTATGTAGATGTAGATCTAAGTAGGCGTTGCACATCACAAATGTAGATACCCTCTGGTAATTTAACATAGCTATTGAACATGGCCATTTATAGTGGATTTTCCCATTAAAAATGGTGATTTTCCATAGTTATGTTAGTTTACCACAGTGTAAGGGAAATGCCAGCTGGTCCATAAAAGCGTACGATATGTCTGGACATTTGTCGCCACAAGAGATTTCAAGAAACCCGTCTTTGTTCCACATATCATTCATGCATGGTAAATGTGCTCTCTGCAAATTTATCAAACCATATCAAGATTATCAAGCCAATACATGCCAATACACCATCATCCTTCGCATCCCAACCCTTGGTTTGTTCTGCTTGACAAGAGGCAAGTACTCTGAACGAGTGAAACTCTGCAGCGATTCAGAACCTGTGCGAGTTTGGGTCGCCTTTTGAATCCTTTGGGTCGACGCAAAAGAAGTCACTGTAACTAGTCCAAAATGATGGATACCCTCTGGTAATTTAACATAGCTATTGAAAATGACCATTTATAGTGGATTCTCCCATTAAAAATTGTGATTTTCCATAGTTATGTTAGTTTACCAGAGGGTACATCAGGTGCAAGACTCCAAGACTTCATCTGATTCCCTGTTCTTCTTCTGGTATACACCGATACCATCCGATCCCGTCTCTGCGATCTTTGAACTGCTTCAGTTACTCGCGGTGCATGTCACCCCGGGGGGCGTTCCGACCTAAAAAAAATCGAAAGTTATGTTAACGCTATCCCATAGGATCCATGTATGGTATATATGCTAACATGACTGGGGTATATTGATGGGATCCATGTTACCATATATAGCATACATGGATCCTATGGGTATACTACGATACTTGCAAAATATGATTCTATACAATTCCCCACGACAAAATTTAAGAAAAAAACGGTGTTTCACTTCCCATGGGTGCGAAAAGATTAGAATGTTCCTGTACGCCTTGGAGCTGATGGGGGCCACCAATGTTTAATACCATCCTGTATCGCTGAAACACGTAGCTGTGGGATGCTGTGGGTATGGGACAGACTTGAACCCTCAGAGAAAAGGACAACCATAGATGTTGATGTTGATTAAGTCTTGATAGATTGGGGTGGTATAACATCCCATGTTTTGATAAAGCCCATGTGCTCCTCACTTTGCCCATTTCCACAGCTTTCCAGCTGCCGGGAAACTCTGTTGGATGGCGTCTTGTGTATTGGATACCAAGTCCAAGATCAGCATCGTTTGACGTCGCACGTCGACCTGGGGTGTGTTTTTTTTTTCTGCCCGAAAAAAAAGTGGCCAGGACACAAGGGAAAATCTGGGACCCGGAAATTGATAACTGGTTGGTGGTTTTCAACCCATCCCAACATGTGCGTGTCATCTCAACCAATCATCCAAAAGTCTTGCTGAAGAAAAGCATGTATTTTTGAAAGATCCCCAGTGAGATGAACTGAGATAGCGCAGTAGCTTGGCAATGTTTGTCCCAACTACGATCAAAAAAAGCAAAGCGTCAACGAACATCCTCAAGGTGTACCTCCCGAAATCTTTGGCCAACTCAAACCCCCTTGGACATCGCCCCTACCCCCTTGTTGTTCACATCCCCAACAGCCGACCGCAATGTGGCGCCCCTTAGTTATAAGTTGGTTCATGTTAACCCATCTAAGCTAACTATATACCGTGTAAATGGATATGTATTATATTATTGTATATATATATATAATATACAGACATGTATCCGGCATAAATCCAATCATTAGCCGATCTTACTTATCATAAATCAACTATCGATCCCCATTTTTCGAGGTCAGATCATCTAACCTCAAATCCCCATCTTTATTAGCAAATTCCCCATTATTATTGGTAAACTCCAATGTGGGCTAAATTCCGTTTTTGATGAAGTAAATCTCCATGTTTCTTGCTTAATTCATCTTAAATCCACATCATCATCCAATCAAACCCTATAAAAACCCCCAATCCCTATCCTTTTTTTCAGCTAACCTCCCCATCCTCCCCATCCTCCCCATCCTCCCCATCCCAGGTACCATGCGTTCCTCCTGCGCTGTGGTCGCTTTCTCCGTGCTCTCAGACATGGCCTGGCATTGCGCTGCCAGCGCAGCGATCTCCTTCTGGATGCTCTGCAGCAGATGGTCAGCCTTCTCCACATTGGCCTTCAGCTTGGGGGAAATGAAGAGCTCTATTCACATGAGACATATATTGTACAAAGATATATATATATATATGTAGTATAGTATATAGATTTATTGATAATATATATATATATGTATACAATAAATCGATGTATATAAATATATATTATATTAATATTGTATAGCATTATATAATATTACACAATATTAAATAACATTGTATAATATCACACAATATTATATATCTATTCAAACAAAGTGAGAAAAACAATGGTGATGTATAAAAACGATGGACCAATTGGATGAACCACTGGGTAAAGTAGCAACAATTGATACATTTATAACACATGATGAGTATGCCATCATGCCATCAACGTTTTGTGGGATTTAGGATGATTTAGGCATATTTATGTTATACATGCAGGATCCCCCCCATCTTCAAAGGATTGATTTGAGGGAGTTTTCCCTGCAGGATGGGGTGAGTTTTTCAAAAAGCCTCACAGATCAGGTTTCCCTGAAGATGTTCCCGCAAATCAAGTCTGAGACAGGTAAAACCGGATTAGAAACCATGGTTATAAGCCTTTAATATACATAGACATATCTATGAGCTTTCGCCCAGGGATGATCCTCAAAGTCAATTTTCATCACAGGGTTTTGGTTTCCGGGGTATCGCCTAAAACCGCCATCCATGGATGGATTTTCAAGGAAACTTGACATGAAACCACAGCTTTTCCAATGATTCTTTGAGGGGGTTCCTGTAAGTTTTCGCTGAAACCAGTCCATTGACATCACTATTTTCAGATTATCCACCAACATCAGGGCTTGGTGAATGTCCCATTCTGGGGATTTGGAACATAACTTGAAACATCTTGAAACAGTATCTGTTAGGAACCAACAATCACCGTTAGTTGGGTGATGTGAAAAAAAATTAGGACATTCATCAACCCCTGAACATTACCTGATATTTCTCAATACTGTATTTGCTTCGTATGACTCCAATAGTATTACAGTACGTCCATACTGGGCGGCACATTTAGCTGCATATGGGCCACTTTGGGGAGTAGTCTTGCGAAGTACAGCCGTTCTACATAGATTTAATTGGGATGAATAAGGGATGGGTCAAAATTTCTTCGCTGCCGATGAAAACACGGCGAAATTCTAGGTCAAATTGTCCTGGAGCGTCCCACCTCGGCCATCCAGTTTTAATTCACACCAATATGTTGATGAGTCTTGCATTAATGAACCCCTTGCTCTGCGGGTATAGGCGAACCTGGGTCTTTGTATTTGAGCCATCTAAGGGCGATCAATCGGTTTCTTGCAAGGAACCTATTTCAAATGCTGCACTGGATTTTTTTCCGGAATCTGTAAAGCATACAGTGGGTTTTGACACATCCACATTGATTCTTTGCAACAATCCTCTGACAAAATCACCAAGAATCCAAATGTTTGTTAATCTACCCACATTATAACCCTGTGCAATCACTTGGACGCAGATGATCTCCTTCCATTATTAATGAATTATCACCGAGAATCTCAACATATGACATGAACTAATAATTATTATAGTTGGAATCCCTCTCAGCTATAATCTGATATGTATATAATATAATAATAGTATGCCACTAAGAACTCTGCTTTTTATATCTTTTATCCCATTGTCATCAACAATCCCTGATAATCCCATGGCCCATATCTAATTCGCAAAAAAAAAAACTTGCTACACGGACTTGTCCAAACATATGATAGACCTATAAAATTGCCATTTAACGGGAAACATGGCAAGTAACCAATGGTTTTAGGGGGTACCCCATTTTCAGACGCACTCAAAGAAAGCACGCCTTGCGCGTCTCTTCGTTGGTGTCGCTCATCTTACGTTCCAAGGTGCCTTCCATTTCCACCAGGCGTTTACCTACCAGCGGATGCAACTACCAGGTGATTTTTTGAACATTTGGGGGTTTCTTGAAATGGAGGATCCCCAGGCGTCACCATGGTTGTTTCAATACTTCATGGTCTAATGTCTTGGATGATTTAAAACGGTACCCCACCCCCCCACCCCGTCATTTTAGGAAACCTCGATTTACGGACCCCTGCAAGAAATAGTGGTGAATCTGATTCTAATTTGGTAAATCACTGACATCTACCATTTTGATCCATTTCGGGGGTTGATTTAACATTTATATAAACATACATATTTTTTCTTGGGGCGCAAACATAATTTTGAAATGTTTCAGGTCATCTGAAAATTGTGGGAAACACCTAAATCCGAAAGTTACACACATCATATCACATCATTTGTTCCCCATAAAATGTCTTCAAGATTAGAGAAAAGGGGCCGTCCAGGAAAATTATGCACTTGGTGGATGAGAGCCTGGAAATCAGAACATGTTTCGCTGCAATAAACATGATATTGTAAAGGCTGTAATCATTTCAGGGGCCTACAATGGTGCTTTCCTGGCGCTACTTGCTGTTACAAATGATGGATGCCAAATAGCTATCAATGTCGATCATCGGCAGGTCAAGACTTCACAGGGCAGCTCGATATCTTGAACAACAATTCTACCCTCTGGTAATTTAACATAGCTATTGAAAATGGCCATTTATAGTGAGTTTTCCCATTAAGAATGGTGATGTTCCATAGCTATGTTAGTTTACCAGAGGGTAGTCTTGGAGAAACAAACAACGCACAGTTTCTTAGGGGATTTCTTAAGGGGGTTCGAAAGCGTCATGGGGATCCCCGTCACCATGGACCATCCGGTGATTCAAGATGGCCATCATGTCCCCATTTCATATCACCATGTTGGATACATATCCGGTTGCAAACCATCATGTTGTCCCCATTATATCCCAATGTGATATCTCCAATGAAGTATTCAATGAAGTGGTAATCATCATGAACCAGCCAACATTTATCAACTTATATTATATCCCCATGTGTTGGATATTGTTGGATGATTATTTGGATGATTATACCCGCATTAATGATGGCCAATTCCATTCAAATCCTCATTCATAGATGATTTAAATCCCCATTCATGGATGATTTTCATGGATTTGCCCATGAAACAATTGCAGGGTGTTATCCAAAAACTTCTCAAATTGAAGCAGGGCCCAAGTTGCGAGTGAACTCATGTCCGGAATCCACCTGTGGGGAGGGGCTCTTCAAGCTACTTATCCCTTTGAAATAGGCAACAAAAAACTCAAAGTGAAGTGGTTTGCTACAGTTACAGGCTATAATTCTCCTGAACGAAGTTAAGTTGATAGATCATTTTGATTGTTTCATCCGATTTTTTCAAAGTTGGTTAGGCAAGGGCAGAAAACATGGAGTATATCTGATGACCTTGAATTGTCCATGTTCCAGAGTCGCATAAGAGCACTGCCATATCTTGAAACTATAGATGACGTTCATAGAACGTAATGACGAAGATCTCTCTTCAATCAATATTCATAACAGGCGCACTTTGATGCAATCGGCATGTACAGTAAACCGGTAAGACCAGCAAGAGTGGCATGAAGAGCTACAGTACTGACCAGTACCGACTTTATAAGGCACTTTTGCAATGACAAGTGAACAGGCTGGAGCAGACTCAAAAATAACAGGGGGGGGCCTGCGACAAACAGAGTACCAGAATCATCATTGTAAAATGTGTCAAATTCCTGCAGTTCAAAAATCCAATGATCCATGATGTCTAGATCCAGGACCCAGAGTCTTGGATTCGCAGAAGATCTGAAACCATCCACTAACTATATTCATATCACTGGATCCAAGTTCATCCTCCAACGTATGATCTAAATTCTATACATAAGTCCTTGGTCTCTGTTCATTTTTATAGTACTCCACAAGAAATACTGCTTGGTGGTTTGCACCCCCTAGAAATCTCGATCAGTAAAGATCAACATCCCGCTTGAAGATATCTTTCAACACAAAAACAATGTGAAATTACCATAAAGATTCTCCGCCATGGATCTAGGCAAATTACTATATCAATCTTTATCAATATTTACCAAATCAACAATTGGTCTATAGTCTATAACCCCCATCAACTACAGATATATCCCACCATAAAAGATCCATATGTTCACCTTGCGATTTCCCCAGGCCCTTTGTCGAATCACCCCTGTGGATCCCCCTCAATGTGGCGCCGGCGCCTGCTTGGACAAAGCCGTTTGCTTTGTTGCAACTCCCTCGAGCACCGCATGGGACTCCTGGACGTAGCGACCAAAGATCCATAAGACATGACTCTTTATGGAAACCCCAAAATAAAAGATGCGGAAAAATACCTTGGCACCATTTGGACCTGGAAAAGGTGTGGAAAACATCATCGAATCGTACATCCTGGAAACACTGTCCGGCATCTTTTTGGGGGTTACTGGAAACTGGACTCAAAACTAGTTGATGGTTGAGTCGAAGGGATGTCAAGGGATAACTATGCGAATTCCAATGTTCCCTTCGATCAAGGGACTGATGGTTAAGCCAGCATCATCCCATGCAGCATGGAAAATAAGCACCGCCTAACCCCCCTTGATGGCAAATGAAGGGCCTCAGTGGTTCACGGTTCCAACATGTTTCACCTCCTAGAACATATGAAAGTCAAGGGAATCATTTTCCAGTTAAGTTATGTTGTGAAAATGAATTTTACATAAATTGAGCCAAGAATGCGTTGTGTTGCCCTCGTTTTGACATCAAAATATAGCTCTAAAATATTATAAAATGAATGCTTAAATTGCTGTTCCTCCTGCATTGCGCTAAATTCAATGTAGAACACCATAAACCATAGAACATCTATTGTATCCCCAACATTAAACCTTGAACATCACCATCCAAAACACCACAAGTGAACTTCCAAATCAACCGGGCCCGTTTCCAGCCCCGTGGAGAGCCCGGCGCCTTGGTCTGCTGCAGCAAATCTTGTTGCGTGATATCGAGCTTCTGCAGCAAGACGCTGCTAGAGGAGTTCACCGTGTCCATCAAGACCTGCTTGGTGTTGTCCGTGGCACCTGGAGCCAGCATTTCATGGTGAAACCATGGTGAAACCATTTTTAAAGACATCCAATGGTCTTCATGTAATAATGGTTAATAGAAAATGGCGATAATAACGACATATAACAACCACACATGGTTTTTTTTTGCGGTAAAGGTGGCTTTTTGGGAAAACCTCAAAGTTTTTCCATGCTGTTTGAAAGAGAAAATCATTGAACTGAATGGATGTTCCAGCCATGTTTGATTGCGAAATGAAAAAACAACACCTGGCTGGTCACCTCGAAATTTTCTGATCTCCAATTTTCCCGTCCCCACCCCAACCCCTTAAGTAAACCCTTGTAAAAAAAACAACCAATTTCCTCGAATCCTCTCATGACTGGACACATGTTTAAGCCCCAATATATGTATATCTTTTGGTTATTTTCTATATATATATATATGTGTGTATTGTTCTAATTCTAACTATACCCAACAAATATAAACAATTTTCTCAAGCATATCGATCAGATCGCGCCTGTGATGCTGTTCAACAAATTGTCCACAGCCACCTTCTGGGTATCCACCTTCTGTACCACGTTGTCCTGCGACGAATCCAACTTGTGCAGCAACACTTGGCAGGCGTTGACCTCGACGGCGAATGTTGATTCCCAAAGTATGGGCTTCTCCGGGTTCCAGAACAAGCGCAACAACTCCATCAGTAAAATTCCGAGTATCATCCCATAGAGCATCTTTCCACTTCCCCATCTGGGTAGTCCAAACCCTGGGACGAGGTACCCTGTGGGAATCCCTAAAATAGCTGGTGAATGGATGTTGATATGAGTGTCTTCCCTCACTCATATGGTCATAAAAAAAAACATGGTTCAACCAGCTCAATTTGAGTCACTTGACCCATATATTCACCAGCTAAACTGGCAATTTCCCAACCTCCCCAAAAAAACATGCGCTCCAGGAACGGTCTGCAAGATGGCCACCTGTGAGAAGTCCATCCGCTGGGCAATCGCCTCGAGAAAAACTATGGGAAGACTCTGGGAAAACATATGGCAAAACAATGGAAATATGGGAAATCTATGGGAATTCTCAATGGATTGGTTTAGTCGGGAAAATCGGAACCGGCTTTTCCATGATTGGGGCTTTCCGGTAAATTTTCCCTTAAACCAGACCAATCCATTGAGAATTCGAAAACTATTGGAAAACATGAAATGATATATATGGGAACAGATTAATGGTTTAGGGTTAAGCAAACCATATGTTCCATTCAAGGGAAATTGATTGAGGAACAAATATGGGAAAATTGCTATTTGGAAACCAGGGATGCATGCTATTGGTGAATTTTCCTATATATAACCAATTCTGAGAGAAAACATATGTGAGAAACTTCAGAATCTAGCTGAACATGGAGATATACACATGTCACATTGCGATATAACGGGCGGTAGACACGTACGCGCTAATGTTTGGGCTAATGAAATGGGCATGTTGAATAATGTTGGGAAAATCACACAACCCCATTTTTGTTTCATTGGTCCTCATTGTGTCCCATGAAAAATTGGGACAGTAGACAGCTAGCCAACCCACTTTTTCTTGCACGAAACCTGATGAATGTGGAACCTAAACCCTCACAATCAAATAAACATTTGCATTTATGTGACCTTAGCGTTCTGGTGCCAACACTGTACAATACTGTGCACGATGCTGCGTTCGTTTTTTTGATTAGATGCTCGGAGGTTCAGTGCACTATGGTGCAATCCAGTTTCAATAATAATTGGGTAAACCATGGTAAATCTGGTGTTATACCCACTGGGTTGGTGGTTGAGCCATACCAACAACATGAAAGTCATAGAACACAATGATAATCTGTTCTTTGGAGGGTGGACATCATGAGAGAAAAAAGAAGTCTGGTGGCTGATTTCAACGAATCAAGTAATAAACTTCCAATGGCGATAGGAAAATCGACCACTTCGCAAGCATGACAATTCTTAAGCAGTTCGTCCAGTTGGACCATCATCCAAAAATTCCTAAGGGTGTTCTTAGGAAGAATGGGTCCCTTGTGGGGCTGACCATTTCGCACTACCTACACGATATCTGAAAAACCCGTGGGAACGCAGATAAAATCCTATGGCTCCCAAATCAAATATGGCTATGGCTCAAAAAAACATAGGGTACCAGTGGCCCCCGAAAGGGCTGGTGACTTTTGATATTCAACCCTTCAGTGTTTGGGAGACATTATTTTGAGATATGTTGGTTTATCTAAAACAAAAATAACCAACATAATGTTCTCTGTATTCTAAAATATTACTTTGGGGATTGGGGGCATATCTATTAAATCCATTGTATATGCCATGTTCCATTATGGTATACATTTTCAGACATCTCCCTTTGGAGCCATTCCCAATATCATGCCCTATCCCTGCAAATGAAACCATGGGTGGTTGGCATTGCAAAAGAAGAACATATTGGGATTCCAATCAAAAGTTGACTCATATATATATATACATATATATATATATATTATGATATATTATATGCCATTAATGTAAACTGATTATATCATATTAATGTAAAGTTCATCATTGATGAACCATCCTCAATAGTGGTCTATTGAGTTTAGTGTTGGGTATGATGCAAAATGAAACCCAATCATTGTTGGTTAATGGGATGGCTTATTACCCTTCCCGTTAACCATTAATGTGGTAAACCCAATAACAAACAGTCCTAAAATCACCATAAATGGGTGGACATAATATAAACCATCCCCCAAATGGTAGCCTTATTACTGGGTTAACCGTGTTATATGATATGCATTTATATTACCATAAACCATATATCCATATGTTCTTGGTGGTTATTTACCCCATGTAATATTCCAAATATGTATATATATATATATTCCCAAATGATATTCTGAAAGGTTTCTTGCCTCTTGGGATTGCTCCATCTGACGTTGCAAGTTCTCCTCCATGCCGTGCAGTTTCCTAGGGTGACTGCAGCTTGGGGGCTCGCCATGCCCGATGCAAATGGGCGTGTCTCAAATGGAGCAGTAAACTTCATAGGAAATACGATAAATGATAACTGACCACTCGCCTTAGGGACTTAGGGGTAAACCCCCGTCCCGACTCAATGCTTGAGTCAGTGATTTTGAAATTTCTTTCTCCCAGCTCCCATAGGACCAAAGAGACGTAATTTATCCCATGATATCCCATGGCCAAAGAGAGTCTCTATTGAATTTACTGCACAGAGGGTCTTTTCAAATAGGTCAAAATCTAGACCCTGTTGTGAACCCCACCCTACCAACATCACCCAGGAGGTCACGACCAAGCACCATCTATTGAAATTGGGGCGTTAACCCCGACGAAGTCCGAAGCAGAAATTCTTCGGAGATGTTGTATCAAGAGGGTCCCAAAATGACGGAAACATCATATCAAAACGCTCAAGGGATCGTTCCAAATCATAGCGTGTCGTAAATCACCCGCCTTTCGAGAATTCCAGTCTATTTTGGTGTGATATCAGTGATATGCTTAGGATGAACTGGTTGACCAACTAAACATGACTAAACCGAAATCACAGGTTCATGCAAATGGCTATGATTGGCCTTTTTTTTTTGACAGGCTCATGCCAACTCATCTGGTAGTCAAGCTGGATGATCATCCCAGGTGACATAGAAAGAATCACGCCATCAACTACTTTCAGTTTATATGCCCATGTCTGCCAGTGATGTTACGTGTTTGTTTTTTTTGCTTAATAACCAATATATCTGGATGTTTGTTTTTTTTTATATGTATAAAAAAAATATTATTATTATATATGTGGATGCTTTTTTTTTCCAGGGTTGAACTAGTCATTCATGAGTTCCACAAGTGATTATAGATTATACAGTTTTACATGTATTTATATATATATATATATTTAAAGTATAAAGTTATATATATATATATACCAGTATGCACCGGGCCTTTTTATCGTTAACATCCCATAAAATACGGTTCCCTAAACTGATTATATGTACCAACATTTATCAAGCCATATGGTCACCAACCCCTCAGCCAAGGCTCTCCATGACAGCGTCCTGAAAAGGCATCAGCACCTGCGATGACACGAGGGCGACATCTTGCGACCGTTGCAGAGATGTCCCAACACTGCTTTTTAAAGAGACCATCGATAGGAATCCCCAAGATAGAAAAGTAGAACTTAAATATAATTGTGTATAATTTACCGCTATCATCTGGTTATTTAACATAGCCATGGAAAATCCCTTATAAATGGAGGTATTAATAGGAAAATCATCTATAAATGGGCCATTTTCCATGGCTATGTTAAATAACCAGAGGATAATTGTGTATAATTTACCATTTTGAGGGACTACTGGAGTGTTTTTTCAACTGTAAAGTTGGGGAATTGCTTTTCGGTAAGACTTGGGCTATCGGGCTTCATGCGGAGAGGAGAACACAAAATGCGAATCTAGAAACTGCAAAATAAGAGGTGATGATGACATGGAATATATAGCAAAATAAAAGGTGATTTTGTATATGTAGTCCCGGAATCGATAGAAGTGGGGACTGGCACCATGATTCACCTGTCAAACATGGAATTCGACGAACAAACGTCAACAAAACGAGGATTTCATCAATTTGTGATTTGTCTCAAATGGTGACTGGCACCAGTTTATATCGCTCAAAGTCTGATACACGACTTGAGTTTGGGATTTCAATTTTTCAGACAACCCCATTTATCATCTATCTATCAATTATATATCAACCTTTCTGACAAACAAACATTGGCTGCCTGGTGGTTCAAACAATCAACCTATAGGAGCTTTTCAACTTCGAACCGCGTCGCATAACTTTTCGATCATCATGAAATGCTGATTGTCGATCTACCGAACAGCGGCATGGATCAAGGCATGAGATGATCAGCTGTTGTCTTTCCCATAGGATCCATGTATGCTATATATGGTAACATTTACCATCAATATACCCCCAATGTTAGCATATATACCATACATGGATCCTATGGGATAGGGGTTTGTCTTACATTTTTTCGGATACTCCGAACATATTCTGAAAATGGCACTCGAGCAAATTCTGATAAACCACAAAAAACATGTGGGGGCCCTATATATTAATATACATATCTGAAGGCAACGACCCTATTTCCCATTTCACTGTTTTTTCGGCGCGTGTTCAAACATAGCCTTGCCATGCCTCCCCCATGATCTCGCGGATCTGCTCGGTGTGGTCAGACATGAGCATGTTGATGCCGCCGAGGTAAGTCGCATTGTTGCTGGGTGAGGCGCCACTGTTCCTGACAGCGGCAGATTCCCCATGGAATCAGCGGAGGTCCCCCGTCCAATGGCTTCAAACCACATTTTCCCATTGATGGACAAAAGTTGGAGGTAAATCCCCTAGGTCTGGGCACCAACAGATCGTGTTCTTGGTTATTTATCACGTTTTTGTTGCCAATGTTGTTCCACATGTTTGATGGCGAAATTTGGTGCTGTTTTTGACCATGGTTCTCCAAATCATGTACCATCCCCAAACGAACACATACCCCAAAAATCACCCATTTCTAGAGGAAGGAAGTCATCCATCCTTGGCAAGGGTCTTAGCTGCGGGGAAGCTTCACAAAAAACACCCCAACCATCACTCGGCAAAACCAAGGCTCATGCCCGGCAGGGATTGCATCAAGCCCTTTCCTGTCATGCGCTCTTTGTTCCTGGGAGCTGGGAAGCAAGGTGGCCAAGTGAGCAATCAATGGCTGGATGGAAGGCAACATCTACAGGAAACCATTGTTTTCACCAATAAATATTTGGGTTTCCTGTAGATTTTCCCATCAAACAATTCTAGGATCTAAGGTTTAAACCAACATGCTGGCTGAGCCCCATTTCTTCTTGCTTGATTCCCGATTTGGGTTTGTCAAGTGGTGTACCATTAATTTCAATAGATTATCGTCATGTTCACCATTCAAATAAATATTTTGGTGCTATTCCCAATTTTCAGAGACACACATGTTTTTTTTTGAGAAACCCAAGGTTCGCTTCCAAAAGTTTCTTGAACGGATCCTCCTTCAGAACCACACCGCCTTGGTCCTGCCAGCTTGTTGAACGCTTGGTTATGCCCCCCATTGATCAGCAAATCCAGGTGTATCAGTGTATCATAGTTTATCCATCAATGAACGGATATAAAACCAACAAAAATTAGAAACAAAACCATACAGTAACTACAAACAAACATTCAAAATTCGAGTTTCACGGATGATTTTATTGCTGGATATATGCAGTGTGGGGCTCCATGTTAGTCCATCTTACACTAAACGGGTGCAACTTGGGTATTGAAATTCATATCCAAGCTTAATCTGGGAGGATTATCGCACACTTGCCCACCATGTAGTTGCAATTCTTGGTTGACCCTATTTCTCCCCGTTGTTGGTGATGTCACGAGTTCCAGTCAAAAAAAATGAGGATAACATGAACATTAAAACCAGAGTTTCAGCCATCCGAACCGGAATCATGCACGTCAAAGCATACATATATATATATATATATACATACATATATATATATACATATGATACATGCATGCATACACTACATCACATCACATTTTAAAGCATTACATAACATTACATGACATGACATAACAATACTTACTATTACATACCATTACATACCATTACATACCATTACATACCATTACATACCATTACATACCATCACATACCATTACATACCATCACATACCATTACATACCGTTACATACCATTGCACACCATTACATTACATTACATTACATTATATTACATTACATTACAATATATATATATATATATATTATACACATAAATACCGCTCTGGCCGGTTGCATGTATATCCCCGTCAAGCTTGCAAACAAAATAAGACATGGAACAATGATTCACCAGTTGGGCAAACTCATTTTTGAATGGTAAAACTCAAAAACCATAATGATTGATGAGACAAACCACATGTATCCACATCTATCCACATCTTTGATAGCAAAGTCCCAAGTCTTCCAGAATCTCACAACAGTTTGATGCTTGAATCTTCCACTAGTTGGTGGTATACCTACCCCTCTGAAAAATATGAGTTCGTCAGTTGGGATGATTCTTCCCAATATATGGAAAGTCATAAAATTCATGTTCCAAACCACCAATCAGATCCAATAATATTAGCCAGTTGGGATGATTATTCCCAGATATTCCCAATATATGGAAAAAAAAATGTTCCAAACCACCAACCAGCCAAGCTTTTCACGGTATGTTTCCCGCCAGCCTGGCCCAAGCTCATCTTTTCAGAGGTCCAACGTTTCTGTGAGGCTTCGATCAGGACCCAGGGCAGGTTCAGCTCCATGCAACGCTCCTCGAACTGGGGAACTGGCCGACTGGGACCATGGGACCAGGCTTCTGAAAAAGCAGAGAAACACACATGAATACACAGGTTTTTTTTCTTTTGCTGGATACCAATTAAGATGATTTTTTTTTCACTGTGGTTCAGAGAGTCGGGATGCCAGGACTGAGAAATAGAAGCCCTGTAATTATGACCATGTACCTTCCAAGTAAGTGAAACAGCACCCAAGCAAAGGTTCAACGGAGCAACAAAAAGTGAACATCCAATTCCATCCAATTCCCAGCTATTTACTTGGTGGCATGTTCAACTCAAGACCTTGGATTGAAACCCTTAGTTTCCATTCATGTTCAGGTTCAGGTACAGTATTTACCCAACATGTAAGATATATTCCCAATAAAACATAATAAAACGTGTCAATTGTTCGGTTTCAACAGGCTCCCCATTGGCCCATCGCCCCCGTTGTCGGGGGCTCCGCGTTGAGGCGTTCCAGGACAGCGGTGTTGGTCACACCGTTCTCCACCATGAGCTTCAAGAAGCGATCCGTGTGAGTGCTCATTCCCAAGGTCACCATCGTCTCCTAACAGGATGGGATAACTCGAATCATGGCACTCATGGCACCCTCCCGTGGTGTGGTTTGGGGTGGGGGGTTGCATATGCTGTGTAGGGAGTATACAACGGTATATCCAAATAAGTAGGATGTAGGTGCTATGTGGTAGTATAATGTAGTATATAGGTAGTGCCTATAGGTAGTGCCTATAGGTAGTGCCTATCTAGTTGTAACAGTATTCTATAGGTAGTATAGAAGCCGTATATAGGTAGTGAAGATGTAGGGTATATAGTATTACAAACAGCAAGTATGGATATAGAGGATGTAGTTAGATAGTATACATTTGCATATAATATACATATACGGATACATGTATATATGTATCGTTAGTATGAAGTATCTGGGTAGTGTATGTGGTTGCACCCTCTCCCCTGTGGTGTGGTGGCGGGATGATGAAGGTTGATGCAGCATGTTAGTCGTAGATGAGTAGTATAGAGGTAGTGTATAGGTACACTATGAGTGGTATATAGGTTGCATACAGGCATGCAATGGGTACGGTACTATATACATATCAATAGTAGGATAACATATGAGTAGTTTCTAGGTACGCCAATAATCTTACAAGTAGAAACAAGTACATAATATATATATATATATATATTATACATATGTATATATATATTATACATTATACATATGTATATATATATATATATATTATACATATGTACGAATATTATACATATGTACGAATATTATACATATGTATATATATATATATATATTATGTATATATATATATATTATGTATATACATACATTATACATGTGTATATATATATATATATATATGTACTGTTTACTATATATATATATATATATATATATGTATGCATGCATGCATGCATGGATGCATGGATGCATGGATGCATGGATGCATGGATGTATGTATGTATGTCTGTCTGTGTATGTCTGTGTATGTCTGTGTCTGTCTGTGTCTGTCTGTGTCTGTCTGTGTCTGTCTGTGTCTGTCTGTGTCTGTCTGTGTCTGTCTGTGTCTGTCTGTGTCTGTCTGTCTGTCTGTATGCAGGTAGGAAGGTATGTATATATACATATAAGTATGCAATATAGGAAGGTTGTGGCTCTGAAATGCTGCAAATAGCATGCAGTGCAAATGGGAGACTTTTGGGGAGGTGTACCATACCATGGCAATATTTGTTGTTTGAAGATTTCCCACCAATACTTACAATCATCTAAATAAGATTCAATAAGATTAAGCCGAATACTTTCAGCCTCAAATTTCGTCAAAACCGGGGGACTTTGCCCAAACCTCTCTGTACACAACAGCGGGAACGACAAGACACTGCAACGATTTCGACCATCTTCTCTTCACTATCTGCCTGTCAGTGAGCCGGTCATAATGGTGATATTGAAAAATGGGGATATCCCCATTGTAAATGATATTTGATATCCCCATAATGGTAAATATCCCCATGTACCAATATCCAGTTTTAATATATCATACCCATGATGGTAAACATTCACCAGCTTGATTTGATATTTGGGTTTAAGTCACTCTCCGGGAAAATTGCGATAAATCTCATCAGATTTCTGGGGTACATCCAATTTGCAGAGGCGCAGGGATTATCATGAGCTCTTTACGGATGGTCGAAATATGGCAGTGTGTCAAAACCTTGTACCCCTGGTGAACATCAAAATAGCTGGTAAATGGATGTTCATCCCCCTAAAAATGGTATTAATAGGTATTGATCCATAGCCATATGAAACCACCCACCATTGAACAGGGCCCATGAATCGCCCAAAACTGGGCCCAAGCCATGTGTTGTTCTCAAATGTGGGTACCACATGTTGACCGTTGACCCATACCAAACACTGGCTCATTTCGAAAAATGGGGGACCCGAAAATCAGCTGCACAGAATAGCGAAACTAGTGGTGGTTTCATACCCGCATGGCATGGGTGTAGCCCTGTCCCAATCTAAGATACGCTGTTTTCTTGGCTGGTTAGCATGTGTATATGTAATATACTGCAGCAAAAACATGCAAAAACCCAATATACTAAAGCAGACTTCCAGTGAATTTCCAAGGTTTCATTCAGATTCTACCTAATGTTATATTGTCATATGATTCATAGAAAACAGTTTCTACCCCGTGGGGTGTGACCCTCCTTATCTGGCACGGACTCAATACATACCTGCCGTTTTACCACGGGTTTTGGGCCCTCACTTCTGAACAAGTATGTGACATACACCGGAGCCACCGCGAAAAAAATTGGGTCTCTATGAATTATGTAATAGCCAATATTCATCATGGATATGTCTGTGTTTTTTCATGAATATTAACCAAATCCTATATATTAATATTATCCACATATTGTCAACCTTTAATATCCTTAAAGATGAATCTCTTTACCCTCTGGTAAACTAACATAGCTATGGAAAATCACCATTTTCAATGGGTAAATCCACTATAAATGGGCCATTTTCAATAGCTATGTTAAATTACCAGAGGGTAAGATGTACACAGAAAGCCGCCTCCTCACCAAACCCCAAGCCATAGGTCGACGCGCTCACTCCGCCGGCCGCAGAGGCCTCGAGTTCGCTGAGAAAATCACATGGGACATTTGACCTTCTGAAAAGGGCGACTTAACCAGCGGAAATGCTGGTTGAAATGGACTTAACCAGCAGAAATGCTGGTTGAAATATGTTGAAATGGTAGGTTTTCATGAAACATCATCAACACATCGTGAATTAATGGATATTAATGGCTTTCAAATGGTTTCAAGCAACAAAAATCACACTTCGCTGGTTTCCAAAGAGATCAATCGTCTCTGTGGATCCCCGTCCCCATAGGCTTATTCACAGTGCCAAAACTCACCGCGGATACATGGCTTTCACATAAAGTGTCCATATATTTAAATATACATGTTTCTGTTTAATCGCTATTAGGTGTATTCCTCAGTATCTTTCACCTATGGTCCAAGATTGAGGTCTATATATAGATAGGACCCCCAAAAGGATGGGAAGGTCTGGATGGCTGGATGTCTCTCACCTACGCTAAACACGATGTTGCAGCCGTTTGTCTGCCAGAACAGAGAGCATCATCTTCCCAGATGATTTTAAACCTATTCGAGCCGTGAAACAAAACTCTATCCCATCTCGTGAAATATTAGTTGATTGATAGTTCTTCCTACTATAGCCCATTATCATCCCCACTCAACCAGGTAGTGTAATTCCTTATTTCATAACCAATCAACAGGATTCAACAGGGGTAAAACTTTCATGGCTCATTCCTTCTATACACTGCTACATCCTACAATGTGGTGTCCTCCAGTTGCAAGTTAGTTTATAGTTATAATGCAATCTAAACTAGTTTTGTATAGCCACAAAATTAACCAAAATTGTTACTAACACACTAAACTAGACCAAAACTTAGCTAAGGCTCAACCCCAAAGCGATCCGATTCACATGTTTACTCCCTGTTCATTAAAAAAACTGAAAATATATCAGATATTCCTACATATGACATGAATAGTAGTGTCCAATATATTCCCTAAACTATGTACCCAAGAAAAATGTCCAAATGATTTAGTGGTTCCTTCATATGTCCATGGTTGATCATCATTTCAAAACCTATGACTCTCATAAACTATATTTTTTTCATCATATAAATAGGTTTAAGGGAAAATCCGCAGGAAACCCGGATTTATGTCTGGGTCAAAACCATCCTCGGGACTCTAGATGTTCATGATTTTCCCCATCTCAATAGCCAATAATACGAATAGTAGCCATATTTTCCTCAGATAAATAGCCAATGTCAATGAAATTCTCGACATCAATAGCCGTTACATCGCCATGTCCTCGCCATGGATTTCCATGGCCCGCCGATCTCCCGGCGCCTTCTTCGTGACCGCCTGGGCCTTGGCCTTCAACTCGTCCTCTGCCACCTCATCAGTGGGCGACAGGCCGTAGAGCTCACGCGCGGCCTCCAACTTGCGCTGGTGGACCATCTTCCTCGTAAAGGGGACGGGGGACGGTAATAGTGCAGCTAATAGTGCTATACTAGTGGTCTATATATATATATACGGGTATATATATAGATAGAGAGAGAGAGAGTAATGTAGTGATATTGATGTATTCTATAGTGGTATAATAATGGTACTTACAATGTTGTGGTTTTACTGTGGTATATGGTTTAGTAATGATGGTATAGTAATTCATATCCCTATCTCCATTCGGAAAACAAGTAATCATGATGGGATAGTAATGGTATGATAATGATTACTGGTGATATATATATATATAATAATATGTATATATATATGATATGTATAAACATCAAGTCGGTATAATGATGGTACATCAATGGTATGATCATGGTAGAATAATGATTAGTGGTATATATATATATGAATATAATTCTATACCAATTTGACAATGATTGAGTGTGGGTGATGATGATAGTGATGGCATAAAAGTGGCATAATAATCATTATTACTACTACAACAATGATTAGTTATACCCATCTTATGATATATGGTAAAATGATTAGTTTTAGAAGTATAATAATGTTAAAACAACAATTTGACTCAATGATACTAAACTGAATAAACATTAGTAGTAATACAACTATTGGTATAACAATGGTAAAATGATGGTGTGATAATGATATGATATGGTATGATCATGGTATAAAATTGGTGTAAGAATGATTATTAGTGATAATTAGTGATTTATATAGACATACATATTTACAGTGTATATTATGATGGGAAATGATAGTATAACAATATAAGTAATAATTGTCATGGTATAATGCTAATAAATGATAAACATATGTATGTATGTATGTATGTATGTCTGTATGTCTGTCTGTCTGTCTGTATGTATGTATGTATGTATGTATGTATGTACGTATGTACGCATGTACGCATGTACGCATGCATGCATGCATGCATGGATGGATGGATGGATGTATGCATGTATGCATGTATGCATGTATGCATGTATGCATGTATGCATGTATGCATGTATGCATGTATGCATGTATGCATGTATGTATGTATGTAGGTAGGTAGGTAGGTAGGTACGTACGTACGTACGTATGTATGCACGTACGTACGTAACGTAGGTATGTATATATATATATATATATTGTAGTGATATATAGTGATATATGGTGGAGGGTGTGGGGATAGCCATCTATCAAATATAGCAATCTGGAGGAAATGGGAGGTACATGTATAATTATGTATATATGCAAGAATGATTAATCATGTATGGTGCATATTACAATACTTATAGATACAATCAATCGCATATGCTATAGATTCCCCAATGTTGATCCAAACGCTCACTTGTCGAGCCAAGCTTCATGCGCTGCATCCAAATGATGAAGGTGAACTTAGAGACGATGTTCAGAACCTGCCGTGGCAGGGCTGGTATGGGCTGGTGAGACATGGATTGGATGGGTTACCCGCTATAGTCTCAAAAAAAGGTACATTGCTTTTATTGCCACCCCATAAACTTGGTAAAACATGGTAAAGTGTAATGTTTCATTAAAAAAAAAAAAACACTAACCTGAAAGGACATGTGGGGATAATTCCTAGCAGGCTCCGGTCTCTCTCGAAACGCCATTCCCACGATGATCCCGAATGGATTCATGGCCATTCCCCAAGTGACTGGGTATATGCTGATATACCAGTGTTATATTATGTTATTTATATATAATTATACACGTATATATAATTACATATATATTTATATATAACTATATATATAAATCTGTTCATAGCGTGGCAGTTTTCTTGTCACCCGCTGAAAAAACAACAACAGAAAATCATTAACAAACGAAGAGAAGATTTTCCAGCCATATTTGAGTACCAGAGGTATCCATAGATATCCTATCGTATGATTTTGTGACGTCACAACGTCCCCAGGACGCCCTGCCGGGCACAGCTGATCTATCCCTGTCACTGCCATGGGCCCAGGGACCACCCAGCCCATCTCAATCATCAGGTAGTCGGTGATGACGCCGAAACCCTCAACACTGAGACCTGGAACTCCCGGAAGACTCCGGATGACTCCGGGATGGTCGAAAAAGCGGTTTTTCAAAGCCTTCCACGTTAAACGACCCCCTTGAAATGCCTGGTATGACCTCCCCCATCTCTGAGGATTTTGAAGATGATAGGATCTGGACATGGCCATCTCCTATATGATCGAGGACAAACATGAACCGATCATCGATTACCAAGAGTTTCCGATCATCCATCCATTAACAAGGGTTTCTCCACGATGAATGAAATCTTCGAATCGTGGTAGGAATGGGGTGCCAACACACAGCCCCTGATGGACATCAAGTGGCCTCCCTGACGTGGGTTGGGCGACCCCTCCCACGTGGATTTCCTTATTCGTCACAGCCCTTTTTTTCCGGGACTGGCCACCGCCCTGATGGCCCTTCCGCATCCAGGAGACTGAACCACAGTGGGAAGGGGATCCATGTGACGATCAACAGCAAGGAGAGCTTGCGGAAATCGGAGTCTCCAACGAAGGCACCCTCTTCACCCTCACTGTTCTCACGGATCTGCAGGATGTTGTGGTAGAACATGATGGATGCCAAGCACAGGCCGAATCCATACCTCAACAATGACCGCACCTATCCATTTGGATGTTTCAACCCATCTTCAGAGATTTTGGGTCAAGTGGGGAAATGTTTTGTAAAGATAAACTGAATATAACGCAGCAACACCACCACTCAATTATAGGTCCCAATCCCATCCCGCTCATCCCCCGTAGCATGGAATACTCATTGTCCCACCATCTCAGCTGGCTACTAAACCATGCCAACACATTGGCCCGAACCCATTCCCTGCGAGTGCTTTTAGATCCAATACGAAACCAGAAATTGCCCAATGTTAATTCAAACATCTTCCCAATGATTTTCGATCGTGATAATATTCATGATATCATATCCTCATGATTCCTTATGGTATAATATATCCTCATGGTATAATATGGTATAATATATCCTCATGGTACAATATATCCTTATGGTATAATGCATGTAAAATATATCAATGATCATATTCATATGCCATTTATGCCATTATGATTATTGTTGATGCATCTCTTATTATTTCAACCAGCGGCCCATCTATTGCAGCCCAGGCGCCAGCCGAAGCGCAGCGCGTCGCCGGTGAACATGGAGGCGGTCCCGCAGAGCAGCACCGCCACGGAGAGCAACGGCATCATGAATCGCCGGTAGCTGGGCACACGAGCGCCCGCCAGGACGACTAACTTCCTGGGGATGGGAGAGTGGAGGCTGACCTTTTGCAGCAAGATGATATTTTTAAGTCAGAAATGGAGGCTTTTGATGGAATTTTTCTAAAAAACATTACTGTATGTAAAGGAGAAACATCTATACATATAAATACATATATACATGATAATCCTGTATATTCCCTTATTGGGGGGTGTCCCATGTTCAGACAAACCCTGTTAGGCCATGGTTGCAGGGCAAAAAAGGTGTAACACGGTGTAACAATATAATCGCCAATCTTAGACAATCTTAGACATCCGGCAAACATATGTTTTTAGCGGGTTAGTAGATATTCTGATTTATGGCAAAAGAAAGGGACTAACATATCCAAAGATGACCTAGCGGTGAACCAGGGATCGGGGTGGAAAGCGCCAAGAATAGAGGAAGAAAAGTTGGAATGCCAACCAACAACTTAGAGGTTCTGAAAGATTCTGATAGCAACATACAATATCCCATATGCTCCATGGTGCTGGAATATTTACCAACATTTACCCGAACAAAATCACCCAGTTTTGTAGGTAAATATACACCATACATGGAGCATCTGGGTATAGATTAAGATTACTAGAACTATCTTGAACTGTAAGTGGGATTCTGAAAGATTTTCCAAGTCATGGGAGTGACTTGGGGCACTTTGGGAGCCGAGTGACAGCTGCATGATGGGACATGTAGCGATCCACTCCACTGGACGGGACCTGGGAGTACCAACCGAGATTGTCCACTAAAAGTGACCAGATTTTGATGGGATTGAAATCGAGGGAACCTGACTTGAGATGACTTGAGGCAATGTTCATCGTTTTCGTTGGATTGTGTTTTTTTGGCCCCCATTCGTTGGAACAACAGAACTCACGTATGAGTTCAGGTCCAGGAGCACCGGATCAGGGCCCATGGTTCCATGAATGCATGAGGTTCCTTGTTGCCTGTCTCTTTACCAACATGGCTGAACCGTTTACCCATGAATTGAACAACTAACTCGCCAATTGTTGGAAGGATACAACATGCACAACATATAGTTCTCCAGAATACAAAATAATTCTTGTTTCACCTACCAAGCTCCGTAAAGTAGGTGAAATATTCCTGTATAACACATCCAACGCCAGAACAACCAGCCGCTGCGGCAGCGTACTCCAATTGCTGGACACACCAAATAATTTGGCATAATTTGACAGTTGTTTATTTGCAACTCCGTTTATATAGATTATTAATACCGTTAATGCAAAGTATGTGACATCTAGATTATTTATACCGTTAATTCAAAGTATGTAATAGCTTAGACATTTCCAAGCACCAAAAGTTACCACAAGAAGTGTCACTTTCTCCTGCAAGGTTCCCAATAAAACAACACTATCCACTGTGAGTAGGTGTCCCACTAAACAACTTGTAACTACTACCATTAATCAAATGAGTAACAAAAATACAAACACACACATATATATAATACACATATCTATATCTATATATATATATATATACACATATCTATATATATATAACTAAATATTCAGTATATCAGTTAATATTCAGTAACAACATATCACAAACATATCCTGAAACCTCCAAGTGCCAAGATGCAAATTCAAGCTGAACGCGCTGGCACGGCCTGGAAGATCGAAATCATCGATGGCCGTCAGCTGAAGGATGTTGAAGAAACCGGAAAACAGCCTCGCGGAAAACGCGACGAAGTACGGACTACGGAGGCAGGAATTGAATCCATTTAATCCATTAGAATGGCTTGATATGTGACCTAATATGACTATATGCCATATATGGATGTGACATAATATGACTATTTCTAATTCAATCCATGAGAATCACATGAAATTGCTGCTGAAATTGCTCCAATTTCATGTCTGGTTTTAGACATGGGATTCAATGATTCAATCCTTAAACAGCTATGCTGATCCAAAATACGATCTGTGGTAGTCACTAGTCACTTCGATTGACGAAAAAAGGACCTTTGATGTATTCCAGGGGTCAATTCGGTGATTCAGGTGTGTGTAATATTATCTATATATATATATATACACACTTTGATAGATTTGTTATATAGCATATTATAGTATATATATATACATATACATATGATATATATTAGACTGCGCGGGGAACTCGGCCTGCTATTTCTTGCCCGGCCGGCCGGCCAGTCTGTGTTGATTCCGGCCGGCCGGCCGGCTAGGCGTGTGTATGAGCTACGTCCGGCCGGCCGGCCGGCTGGATACCTTTGCATTGGCGTAGTTTTTTGGCCGGCCGGCCGGCCGGCTGACGGCTGGCTGTACCTCCAATTGGCTAAGGTTTCGGCCGGCCGGCTGGCTGCTTGGCTAGTTGGCTGGCTGGCACGCTGGCTCGGCTGGTGGGCCTAGCTACTTGGTTCCGGATATTAGTTAAAGTAAGCGCTAAATAGAATGTAAAGGACATGTTAAAATTCTGTAAGCTTTAAGAAATCTCAAATGAAATATGCGATAGTATGACCGCATAAATGTTATGATAGCATATATGTTCGATAGAATGTTGAAAAATGGTAGACAGAGTAGTTGATAAAACTGGAATATGCGTTAGAGGAAACGTGTTAGTGTTAGATAGAATGTTAGATTGAAGGTCGGAATTTATTTGGCAGCCAGAATGTAAAAACATTCTTCCCCAGACAGCGTGTCTACACTGAGGGGTTCTGACGGTAGATGTGAAGGTTGGTGCTTGATCAGGGTGGCCACTCTCTTCTGCGGCCTGTTACCTGCAAAATTTCGTATAAAGCGTCGCATATAAAATCTTGACATGCGTTTCGACTGCGCAGGCTCGCGCGCGTTTCGATTCAGCAGCCTTGCAAAAAGTGTGGTCCGCGGGTTTGGTCTTTGATTTCATTCATTGCAGTCATTTCATTCACTTCATTCATGCCATTCATTTCGTTCATTTCATTACTTTTATTCGCTTCATTCGTTTCATTCATTTCGTGCATTTCAGTCATTTCATTCATATCCTTCATTTCATTCAATTCAGTCATGCAATTCGTTTCATTCGTTTCATTCCTTTCGTTCGTTTCAATCATTTCATTCATGTCATTCATGCCATGCATTTCATTCATGTCATTCGTTTCATTCATGACATTCACTTCCTTCGTTTCAGTCATTTCATTCATGTCGTTCATGTCATTCATTTTTTCCATGTCATTCGTTTCATTCGTTTCATTCATTTCATGTGTTTCATTCGTTTCAATCATTTCATTCATTTCATACGTTTCATTAGTTTCCTTCATTTCAATCATTTCGTTCCTTTCATTCATTTCATTCATTTCATTCATGTCATTCGTTTTTCTTCGTTTCATTCATTTCATTCGTTTCAATCGTTTCATTCATTTGATTTCTTTCATTCGTTTCATTAATTTCATTCATTTCATTTTTTTTGCGTTTCATTCGTTTCATTCATTTCATGCGTTTCATTCCTTTCATTCATGTCGTTGATTCCGTTCAATTCATTCATTTCATTCGTTTCATTTGGTTCATTCGCTGCATTCATTTCATGTCATGTCATGTCTTTTTATTGCATTTCATGTCATTTGATACATTTCATCCATTTCGTTCATTTTATTCATTTCAATCGTTGCATTCATGTCATTGATTTCATTTCATTTGATTTCATTTCATTTCAGCCATTTCAATCATGTCAGTCATTTCGGTCATTGCAATCATTTCAATCATTTCATTCATTTCATTCATTTCATTCATTTCGTTCATGTCATTCATTTCGTCCATTTCATTGCTTATATCCACTTCATTCGTTTCATGAAGTTCATTCATTTCAATAATTGTTTCCGCTTCATTCATTTCATTTCATTCATTTTGTTCGGTTCATTCGCTTCATTAATTTCACTCATTTCATGCGTATCATTCATTTCATTCACTTCGTTCATTTCGTTCATTTCATTCGTTTCATTCCTTTCATTCGTTTCATTTGTTTCATTTGTTACATGCGTTTCATTGTTTTCATTCGCTTCATTCATTCAGTCATTTCATCCGTTTCATTCATTTCATTCATTTCATTCATGTGTATCATTCCATTCATTTGACTCCTTTCATCGTTTCATTCATTTAATTCATTTGTTTCATTGCATTCGTTTCATTCATTTCATTCGTTTCATTCATTTCATTTAGTTCACTGATTTCCTTCATTTCCTTCATGTCATTCGTCTCATTTCCTTCATTCTGTTCATTTGTTTCATTCATTTCGCTCATTTTAGTCATTTCATGTCTTTCATTTCTTTCATTCACTTCATCATGTCGTTCATTTCATTCGTTTCATTCATTTCATTCATTTGGTTCATTTCATTTGTTTCATTCGTTTCATGCACTTCATTCATTTCATTCATGTCATTCGTTTCATTCCTTTCAATCGTTTCATTCCTTTCATTCATTTCATTCATTTCGTTCATTTCGTTCATTTGATTCATTTCATTTCATTTCGTTTGATTTCATTTCATTTCGGCCATTTCAGTCATTTCAGTCATTTCAATCATTTCATTCATTTCGTTCATTTCATTCATGTCATTCATTTGATTCATTTCATTCATTTCATGGCTTTTATTCGCTTCATTTGTTTCATCCATTTCAGTCACTGGAATGATTATTTCGCTTCATGCATTTCATTTCATTCATTTTATTTGGTTCATTCGTTTCATTCCTCTCACTCATTTCACGCGTTTCATGAATTTCATTCATATCGTTCATTTCGTTCATTTCATGAGATTCATTCGTTTCATACGTTTCATCTATTTCTTTCATGTCATTCATTTCATTCATTTTTTTCATTCCATTCATTTCACTCATTTCATTGTCTCATTCATTTCATTCATTTGTTTCGTTTCATTCGTTTTATTCATTTCATTCGCTTCATTCATTTCATTCATTTCCTTCATGTCATTCGTTTCATTCGTTTCATTTCGTTCATGTGTTTCATTCCACTCACTTCGGCCATTTGATTTCTTCCATTCATTTCATCATTTCGTTCATTTCATGGATTGCATTCGTTTATTCATTTCATTCATTTGGTTCATTTCATTTGCTTCATTCTTTTCATGCATTTCATTCATTTCATTCATGTCATTCGTTTCATTCCCTTCATTTGTTTCATTCATTTCGCTCGTTTCAGTCATTTCATTTCCTTCATTCATGTCATCATTTCGTTCATTACATTCGTTTCATTCATGTCATTCATTTGTTTTATTTCTACGGTTCATTCGTTTCATCCGTTTCATGCATTTCATTCATTTCATTCACATCATTCGTTTCATTCTCTTCATTTGTTTCATTCATTTTACTCATTTCAGTCATTTCAATCCTTTCGTTAATTTCATTCATTTCGTTCATTTCATTCATTTCTTTCAATTTTATTTGTTTCGTTCGCTTCATTCGTTTCATTCATTTCATTTCTTCATGCGTTTCAGTCATTTCATTCGTTTCATTCATTTCATGCATTTCATTCCTTTCATTCATTTCGTTCGTTTCAGTCTTTTCAGCTATTTCATTCCTTGCGTTCCTTTCATTCATTTCATTCATTTCATGTATTTGGTTCATTTCTTTCAATTCATTCAATTCAGTCATTTCAATCATTTCATTCCTTTCGTTCATTTCGTTCATTCCATTCATTTCTTTTGTCGCGTTCGCTTCATTCGTTTCATTCATGTCATTCGCTTCATTCATTTGGTTCTTTTCATGTGTTTCATTCGCTCCATTCGTTTCATTCATTTTCATTCCTTTCATTCGTTTCAGTCATTTCATTCCTTTCAATCATGTCATTCCTTTCGTTCCTTTCATTCATTTCATTTCTTGGTTTCGTTTCATTCGTTAGATTCGTTTCATTTGTTTCATTCGTTTCATTCATTTGATTCAATGAACTTCTTTCATTCGTTTTCATTCGTTTCAGTCATTTCATCTGTTTCATTCATTGCATTCATGTCAGTCGTTTCTTTCATTGCATTCATT